AAGGCCAAGGGCCTTCGCCAAAAAGAGAAGAGTTCGACCTCGATCGAACGACAATGAGTTACTATTTCGAGAAGTTCGAAATAACACCCTTTAAGGCCAAGGGCCTTCGCCAAAAAGAGAAGAGTTCGACCTCGATCGAACGACAATGAGTTACTATTTCGAGAAGTTCGAAATAACACCCTTTAAGGCCAAGGGCCTTCGCCAAAAAGAGAAGAGTTCGACCTCAATCGAATGACGACGAGTTACTATTTCGACAAGTTTGAAATAACACCCTTTAAGGCCAAGGGCCTTCGCCAAAAGGGAAGAGTTCGACCTCAATCGAACGACGACGAGTTACTATTTCGACGAGTTCGAAATAACACGCCAAAAAGAGAAGAGTTCGACCTCGATAGAACGACAATGGGTTACTATTTCGACAAGTTCGAAATAACACCCTTGAAGGCCGAGGGCCTTCGCCAAAAAGAGAAGAGTTCGACCTCGATCGAACGATAATGGATAACTATTTTGATAAGTTCGAAATAGCACCCTTTAAGGCCAAGGGCCTTCGCCAAAAAGAGAAGAGTTCGACCTCGATCAAATGACGAGGGGTCATTATTTCGATAAGTTCAAAATAACACCCTTTAAGGCCGAGGGCTTTCGCCAAAAAGAGAAGAGTTGGACCTCAATTGAATGACGACGGGTTACTATTTCGATAAGTTCAAAATAACACCCTGTAAGGCCAAGGGCCTTCACCAAAAAAGAAGTATTCGACCTCAGCCGAACGATGACGGGTTAGTATTTCGACAAGTTTGAAATAACACCTTTAAGGCCAAGGGCCTTCGCCAATAAAAGAAGAATTCGACCTCGATCGAACGACGACGAGTTACTATTTTGATACGTTCGAAATAATACCCTTAAAGGCCAAGGGCCTTCGCCAAAAAGAGAAGAGTTCGACCTCGATCGAACGACGACGAGTTACTATTTTGATAAGTTCAAAATAACACCCTTTAAGGCCAAGGGCCTTCGCTAAAAAAAGAAGAGTTCGACCTCGATCGAACGACGATCGGTTACTATTTCGATAAGTTCAAAATAACACCATGTTAGGCCAAGGGCCTTCGCCAAAAAAGAAAAGTTCGACCTCAGCCGAACGACGATGGGTTACTATTTCGATAAGTTTGAAATAACACCCTTTAAGGCCAAGGGCCTACGCCAATAAAAGAAGAGTTCGACCTCGATCGAACGACGACGCGTTACTATTTCGATACGTTCGAAATAACACCCTTTAAGGCCAAGGGCCTTCGCCAAAAAGAGAAGAATTCGACCTCAATCGAACGACGACGAGTTACTATTTTGATACGTTCGAAATAATACCCTTTAAGGCCAAGGGCCTTCGCCAAAAAGAGAAGAGTTCGACCTCGATCGAACGACGATGAGTTACTATTTCGATAAGTTCAAAATAACACCATTTAAGGCCAAGGGCCTTCGCTAAAAAGAGAAGAGTTCGCCCTCGATGGAACGACGATCGGTTACTATTTCGATAAGTTCAAAATAACACCCTGTAAGGCCAAGGGCCTTTGCCAAAAAAGAAGAGTTCGACCTCGATCGAACAACGACGAGTTACTATTTCGATAAGTACGAAATAACACCCTTTAAGGCCAAGGGCCTTCGCCAAAAAAGAAGAGTTCAACCTTAGCCGAACGACGACAGGTTACTATTTCGATAAGTTCGAAATAACACCCTTTAAGGCCGAGGGCCTTCACAAAAAAGAGAAGAGTTCGACCTCGATCGAACGATGACGGATTACTATTAGGACAAGTTCGAAATAACACCCTTTAAGGCCAAGGGCCTTCGCCAAAAAGAGAAGAGTTCGACCTCGATCGAACAACGACGGGTTACTATTTCGATAAGTTCGAAATATCAACCTTTAAGGCCAAGGGCCTTCTCTAAAAAGAGAAGAGTTCGACCTTGATCGAACAACGACGGGTTACTATTTCGATAAATTCGAAAT